TAAAACACTATTAACAGAACCATAAAAAGACCTACAAAGGAAAATGGGTAATAAAGAGAACAGAACTCAGAAACCAGTCAACATAACAAACACAGAGCTACGCCAAAGTCCAGGAGCAGGAAGAAACGCACAAGGGTAAAGGACTCAAAGGCAGAGGGTGGGATGGTCATCAACACCTACTGCCCAAACAGGGAAGAGACAAGCTGAATCCTTGGGTTCCTTTAAATCAGAGCTAGATAAGATTTTAACAACTCTGAGCTATTAGTTAAGTTCTCCCCAAGCGAGCTCGATGGGCCGAATGGCCTCCTCTCATTTGTATAGTTCTTATGTTCTTATGTTCTTATAAAGGACAGGACAGAAAACCAAAGGCCAGTTGGGATGTATATCATGATATTGGTGTGAGTTAACAGACTGCATCATTGAAGATGCTTGGCTCTGTTAAACCACCCTGCAATCATCTCAGGATATACTGACGTGTACTTTACCTGATAACATGATTCAGGCATTAATTATTTAAAAAGGCACAAGATTTTCCAGCATTCCCATGCCTTCCTATAATGAATGAACAGTACTAATGCTGCCATATATGCTAACATATCTATACTCGCATACCTGTCACATCAGTATCAGTATGAATCCCACTGCAAATTTCATTCCTCCACCCCATGCCTGGGTACCTCAATGCTTTGGGCAAATACCCACAGATAATTTGCCGCAAGATCTGGAACTCTAAGCATCTCTGTATACTCTAAACTGTAAACTCTAAACTGAAACCCCCCCCCCCCCACACACACACAACATGTCAGACTTGATTATATATTAGTCATTGCTATAAATATTATAGTGCATGGTAAATTATTCATTATGCTGTAGTCCTAAACATTTTCCACTGGTTGCTAATTTCAATCAAATGCAGCTCTATTCAGTCTATCCTGAACCTTCAATTTTGTAACTATTCACCTGGTGTGCTGATGCTTAGAAAGTGATACTGACGAAAATTGTGTTTTTAACCTTTTTCAACAGGTGCAGTTTATTTTCTGAAATGCAATCATACATACATAAAACATGTACGTATTTAAATAAAAGGAGTGTAGGATCACACACACACATTTGACAGGGCTGTTTATAATGAGTTCAACCATTATTGCATATTGAGATAGAACTGAGTTAAAGGGGTTTCATTTGAAGCATAAACAAGATCACTTAATCATTTATGGAAGGTGCTTTATATGCCATCTGTGGCTTCTCTCTTTGATAACATCCAAAGCATGAATTGCTGAACAGAAAACACAAATAGAAATCGTTTCAGGGCAATTGCATTACAGGGGAAAATAAAGTTGTTTGCTTATTTTCTATGACAAATATTGTCCGCATTTTTCTTGTGTTGTCAGGCTTTCTGAACACACACAGAATGAGTTTTTGTTGTTGATCTTTTTTATACACTATCAAATGAGGAATTAGGGTTAGTGTGAGTCCTTATGGTTTATGTAAAAGACACTGTAAAAAAGTAGAGCAACAAACTCACAAATGATACAGCAAAAAATAATTTAAAATTAAGCATATTTTCACAAAAGGTACAAGGCTGTGATTGACAGTTAAAAGTCTGAAGAAAAACACCATTTCACTACATTTTCATACTAAAGAGATACTGCATAGTTTTATGTATTCACAACACAGCTAAGTGCTATGTCTTAGCTATGGCCAGCTACCATAGCTGTCAAGTCTCCCATTTTGGCCAGGAAACTACCATATTTTACCCCTCTTTCCCGCCATCCTCCTGTATTAGTATTTTCCCGTAAATCTCCTGTATTATAATATCATTTAGAAAAAATTCCTCTGCTTCTCCAAACTGAACTGACAGTAGCCTCATGAGAACTGCCACCTGCAGGTCTGCAGGTCATTTACAACATTAACCAGGTCATAAATGCGGAGGTTAAAATGGCAATTCTGTGTGCCAAAAACAACGTTACTTTCACCTTCTGTGACGACTTCAACAAGGATACAAAGTCTGCAACAAATCTGTATAATAAGTCATTAGTGAATGCCAGAGAGCCACATGAGTGAACATGAGAAATTAAAAGAAAATGTGTAATGAAAATAAAATGTAAATGACAGGTGGTTATTTTAGATTTCTTGTACACCTGTCTTAAAATGTAAGGGATACTGGAGCTTGGTTGGGGTGGTGGGGTGGCTCGCGGTGGGTGCCGGAAAATTTCCCTTATTTTCGAATCCAAAACTTGACAGGTATGCCAGCTACAGTCCCAACCTTTCTGATTTTCCATCTCCTGACTAAAGTATCCTTGATTTCCTTGGTTCTGAAGCAGTATATCAGAGGGTTCACCATGGGAGGAAAGAGGCTGTACAGCATGATCATCAGGATACGGAAATCTGTGCTGATCGTCAGGTTTATGTTGTTTGCGATGTAAACGAAACACCGGGGGAGGTAATAGAGGCCTATGATGAATAGCTGTGGACTGCAGGTGGAGAAGGTTTTGTATCGTCCCTCTGAGTCTGCAATTTTGAAGACTGATATAATGATTGAGATGTAAGAAAATATTATGAAAGCAAGTGGACATAGCAGTATTGTCATGGCTACAATGAAAGCTGTCAGTTGAACCTCCTTTACATTTTCACACGCTAGTCTGGTTATACCGATATGGTCACAGTAACACTGTACGATGACATTTGAGCTGCAGTAGGGCAAAGAGACGGCCTGATATACAAGCAAAGCCATTAAGAAAAGACATATGAGCCAAGCCAGGCCACACAGGGCCAGAATGGTGGAGTTCTTAATGAACACATGATATCTGAGAGGGTTACATATGGCAACATAGCGATCAAGAGCCATTATCATTAATAAAACTGAATTTACAGACCCCAAAAAATGAACCAAGAACATTTGCAAGAAGCAGGCAGTGAAGGATACAGTCTTAGCTTCAGCCCAATACCGGGCAATCATTTTTGGCAGGGTAGTGGTGGCGAAAGCAATGTCTGAAATGGCCAGGTTACAGTATATGAGATAAGAGGGCTTTTGGAGGCATCTCTCCTTGGACACCAAAATTAATATGAAACTATTACCTGCTATAATGGCCAGAAAGACAAAGAACATAAGGGCTGAGACAGGTCCATTGTACCCAGGCTGAAGTCCTGGGAACCCTAGTACAACAAACTCTGTTATGGAGGTAATATTAGAAGATGGCATGTCCAGATGAAAACGAGGCACACTGTAAAATGTGAAAGGAAGAGAACACACATGAGAAAATATTCATAATATATTCCATTTTCTTTTGCTAATAGCCAAATGAAAATAAAGATTTTAAAACCCATATTAGCAATTATGCAATTATGAATTTTTTACATACATAAAGAATAGGTCAGAGCACTTTCCTATTTTTATGTATTTAATGCATTTGTTTGAGTTTTGAGGATTTCCCTTACCTGTAAACACGCTGAAACACTACACTCATACACGGCTAGATTTGTTTGCAGTATTTAAGGACTACATCCTATGACAAGAGGCATGTCATACCAGTCTTAAGGGACTAAATGCATCTGACAATTCCCACGAAAGCTAGCAATTTCCTCTCTTACACAAACACCTGCAAGTAAGATCACACATAGTGTTCATGGTGACTACTATTGTATACAATAAAAAAAGAAAAGTTAATAAAAGAACGCATATATGCACAGCGTTGCCAGTGCCGACACCAGAACAAATCTGATGGACAGGCCCAACATTTTCACGGTGTGCCACGTGGGGTGGCAACGCATGTAGGGCTGGGTAATATGAACCAAAAACCAAGCCTCAATATTTTTAGGTACACAATACACTGTCCACCCTAGGTAAAGGTAAAAGTCCTTGTTGGGGGAGAGAGGCCAGTCACAAATCCTGTGGCCTGGCTCCAGAGTGTCAGGTAGGAAAGGGAACTCTATGGCTCTGTAATGATTTCCAGAAGCTGAATGAGATGTTTCTGTTCCATAGCCATCTGATGCCCAGAGCTGATGAGCTGGATCTCACCATGGGCTACTGGCAAGTAACAAAGGTACAGAGCTCTAAACTAATTAATAAATCAGTGAATCAGTTAAGTAAACTGAACAACGTATCTAAAGAAATATGAATTGAGGAAACACAAACGGGAAACACAAAGCCCCAGCTTGTAGTCTGGGGATTCACAGGGCCAAAGTGAGAGCGCTGCCGTGACAGTACCCCCCAGCCAGTAGGACCCCAAAACTTAGGAGGGTGACCAGAGTGGGCTGATAAGATCAATAGTCTAGCACATTGCAAGCTGGGACCCAACTCTGTTCCTCTGCCATATCCCTCACAGTCAACCAGATACTCGAAATAGTCCTGGTGGCACTGGGAGTCGAGAAGGACCTGAATGTGGTGAGTTGGGGCCCCTCCTATCTCCAGAGCATGCGGCAGTACCCCCACTGGAAAGACACCCGCCATGAGTCCCTAGATTATTGGTTTGAGGAGGGAAACATATGAGAGATCTGGTACTGGGAGGGGAGTTTTGACCAGTAAGTCAACAGGGTTGACACGACAAATTATACAAAATGGGCCTACAAACCATGAAGGCAGTTTTAGATGGAAGTTTGAGATTCAAGGTGGAAAGGCACACAGGGTGCCTTTTTTGATATTCCATTATGTTGCGCCTCTGCTAGTCAGCCAGGTGCCATAAGCACTTAATAGCAGAACTGATGGAGTTGTGGCCACATCTCCAGATTGCCTCTGATGAGTGGAACCAGGGGTCGACTGCTGGGACATCAGCAGGAGTAGGATCCCAGTATACTTCTCCCCTATGACCCAGACGGTACTGGGGATCCCAGGAAAACCTATTCAGGGGATATTAAACATTTTCGGGAATAGTTGGCAGCTGATTGCCAGCCCTGCATTAACTGTATCAACCTCTCTCATGCAGCAGTGCCACAAATAGGGTAGTCAAAGATGGACCTGAATGCCAAGAGCAACCAATCATAATTCGATAATGCACCATGTCACAAAGCTCGAATCATTTCAAATTGGTTTCTTGAACATGACAATGAGTTCACTGTACTAAAATGGCCCCCACAGTCACCAGATCTCAACCCAATAGAGCATCTTTGGGATGTGGTGGAACGGAAGCTTCGTGCCCTGGATGTGCATCCCACAAATCTCCATCAACTGCAAGATGCTATCCTATCAATATGGGCCAACATTTCTAAAGAATGCTTTCAGCACCTTGTTGAATCAATGCCACGTAGAATTAAGGCAGTTCTGAAGGCGAAAGGGGGTCAAACACCGTATTAGTATGGTGTTCCTAATAATCCTTTAGGTGAGTGTACATGGAAGCTGTTAAGCTGAGGCGTAACAGAAGCCAGGGGAAACAATAACCATCAAGTGACCATCAAGTATCAATGACTTGAGGGCTCCGCAGGATTTATAAACCTGCTACAGTCAGAATTGAGAAAACACTTTGGATTGAAGGGTGAAACATTTTCAAAGAACTAAATAAGTCCAGTTGCCCTGAATAACCTTTCTTGGGCTCCATACCATGTATCACTTCAGTGTGTTTCAACAAAAATATGTTTGCAGCACTTATCCTGGTTTAATGTTCTTAATGATTGTGTTCTTGTTAATTTAGTAATCTTATGTGGTCAGTCCATAGAAATGTGGCTACATTTTTGTGATATCTGCACATCTCCAGGCCTGTGCAGGCCTCTGAAATCTCATTTGATTGGGGAATATCACTTTTTAGCTTTATATTTTGGATGGAACCTACTAAACACGTTTTGGTTTTGCTCCACTGGAAGCTTAATCTCAATTAAATACAGCTTCAGTGAAATGGTCTGTTTTTGACGTGACCTTAATTTACAGATTCTGTTGGCAGCCATGTAACTGGTCATCCACTGTTAAATAAAGTTAAGGGTGTGTCACTGCTCTGCACTGCAGCTTCACTTGTTTCTATAATGAAAATCACCATACCTGTATGTGCATTTGGGTCTGCATGCATTTAAAGGTAAGTTGTATGGCTCTGCTAGGTTCAGGCTAGGAATCTGTGCTTATGTCTGGTGTATCTGATGTTCAATAATATCACTGCCTTGCACCCGTAGCTTCCAGGATAGACTCTGGACTCTGGGTTTCAGAAAATGGATGGATGGGTGGATGTTTGGACGGGTCATAATATCACTATTGAGCCCGAGAGGCCTTTAATCCCAAAAATCTATTACAGGGTGCTGGAAAAATGGCTGACCCTGTGATCTGACCCCAGTGTTTATTCTCAGTTGAAACTGCCTAAACTTAAGTTACATAAAGCTTCAAATTATAAATCATGCCTTCATTAGAAATATGTAGTGTTGGTGCACATTCAAGAAACTGGTTCGATAACTGTACGTCTCTTGGAGTTCACTGACATCAGTGACTAAGCAATAGTTTAAAATAGCATTGTTGCTCACTGTTGGTTTCCTAACTCAGGTGTGGGAAGTGCTTAATTACATTCTGCTAATTAGGCATTTGTTTACTGTCAGGAGTTTGATGGACTAACTGTACCTTTGAGAATATTGTAACCTTTGTGCTTATCATTGTGAATACATAGTCAGTTGAGGTGACCTTGTTTACTAATACACTGTCACACAGAGAAAAAACACACATACAGTAAGAGAATAAGAAGGCCTTACTACCTTTACCCCATTAATGTATTGGAACTGTTTAAGAATTCACACAAAAGTAGAGTAAGGACAGTTCATAGAGAGGCTCAAAAGGACAATGTAACAAAGGACAAGAAAAATGTTGAGACACGGAGTCCCACCAGGTAACATACAGTGCTCCGATCAAATGCATACCCTACACTTACATATTGTTGACAATCTGCCCATTTTTAGAATTAAAAAAATACTCCCCACTGATTACACAAAAATATGATACAGTAACTGCTCAAAAAAGAGAACATCCACAAGATCATCAAATGTCCAGCTGGTCAAGACCTGCCTTGTCAGCCATCAAACAGATAGGTCTCAGGTTTCTTTCGCAGACTTAGAGATTCCAGGGCCTGAATATTATGCTTAATTGTGAATCAAAAAGTAAGTCTGACTATTATTAAATTTCACAAATCATAACTGATCATTCTTCAGATCACTGATAAAAATACAAGATGTCATGGTATATTTACCCAGTATATTGAGGGAACAGCAAAAATTGTTTATTTAAACCATTTATGTAGATTTTTATGAAAGTAGCATGTTTCTGTACCAGATAAACAGTAGGACGTAAAGAAAGAACAATAGGAAGTAAAGTAAATACAGCTGACGTAATTCTAGTACTGTGACAGCTGTGATGAGAAAAATACATTTAAAGATTTCCATTGTCTCATATAGTAAATTACTAGCAGTTCACACCAGGTAATACCCTGACATGAAAAGGTTATATGTTTCATTTCATGACACTTAAGGCTGAAACAAAGCATGTAGCCAATTTTCCTTCCATAACATATCATTGGTATCAAGCAGTGTTATTTGCACAGAACAGCAGACTCTAGGACCTCCTGGGAGTAATAAAATGGCCCAGCAGCCTAACTAGCTGGTCTTTAACAACACAAATCCCACATGTAAATAATTAGATTCTCTAACTACCTCATATCTGAACTGCCCCCAAAGCTACAACATTTGTTTATTAATTTTATAATGAGCTAATAATTAAATCATATACTGCTCTCCACTCTCAGGAGTGAAAAAGAAATTGCTGTTTATTGTCCATTTGTCCTTCTAGCTGCCTATTCTGGTCAGAGCCAACAGGAATAGGGTGCAATGTTGGGGTTCAGCCTAGATGGTAGGTCTGCCCATCACAGGGCACACTAACAGACAATAATCCAACTTTGTTTGCAAACTAGAGAGGCCAGTTAGCCTAACTGTGTGTCTTTGGACTGGGGGAGATAAATAGATACACATGGGAGAAATGGGATCCAAACCTCCAGCCCTAGAGATTTGAGAAAACAGTACTAGCCAGTGCTAGTGCAAGTAGAAGCTGTTTATCATCATTTTATTTAGCTGTACAAACTACTGCAAATCATTTCTTGTTTTGAAGTTTGTTGGCTAGGCATATAGTATATATACACACATAAACACACATAAAGAATCAAACAAAGCAGCACATTATTGCTGAATAACTGGTGGGAAGCTCAATCAATGAATTATCATTATTGATATACTACCTTATTATTACTCCCA